TCCTCGTGTGCTCTGCGCACTTGCTCAGTGTGTGGTTGGTGATTGCCCAGCCCTCTCCTTTGTCCAGGTCTCTCTGCAGGACCTCCCTGGCTTCCAGGGAGTCCACAGCTCCTCCCACTTTAGTGCCATCTGCACACTTGCTCGGTATCCCTGCCAGCCCTGGGTCCAAGTCATTTAGGAGGGTGTGGGAGAGCCCTGGGCCTGAGATGGTGGAACTGTGGAACCCCCCACCAGTGACTCCCTGTTCATGGGCTGCTGTGGCAAAAGAAAGGAAAGACAGGGCTGGCTCAGGGGAGGAGAAATAAATGGCAAGATTTCTCAGCTTTTTAAGAGAACTTCAGAATTGCCAGTAGGTTGGTTTCCATCAGCTGTGCTCCGCAGATTTAATAACCATGTGTTTCCGGCTGGACCGAGAATGCTTTGCAAGCTGGAGGAACTGTTAGAAACCAGGGGACATGAGCACTTCTGCAGCACATTAAAAAAAAAATGTAGGGCCTCAATTTTGAATGTTTCCGGGAGCAAGTTCTGCTTGTCTGCTTTCTCCAATAAATGTCTCAGACATGCCAGTGCATCAGTATCCAAACAATTGCACAGAAGCAATTCTAAGCACATTGCAGCCCTTTCTGCAGGTCAGAACTCTTCAGCTGCACATCACCCTTCTCCTGAATGACATAGTCACCCTTTTCTATAATACATATATAGATATCTGTATTGGGTCTGGCTGAGTTGGAGTTGATTTCCCCACAGTAGCCCTCACAGCACTGGGCTTTGCATTGGTAGCTGTAAGGGTGTTGATAACACACTGGTGCTTTGGTTACGGCGGAGTAGGGCAGCACAGCATCAGCACTGTAACGTTCCTTACCCAGTTGAGGGCAAGATTCTGGGAGGGGGGACAATCAGGTCAGCTGAGCCAAAGTAACCAAAGGAATATTCCAGACCATATGATGTCAGCTCAGATATAAAAGCTAAGGCAAGGAGCAGGAAGGGGGGCATTCATTTTCTCCAATGGCTGCCTGCTAAGGAACTGTTACACCTGCTGAAGCCCTGCTTCTCAGAAGTGGCTGACCATCGCTGCTCATGGGAAGTAGAGAATAAACTGTGCTTTATTTCCCCCCAGGACCTATATAATGCCCTTAAATGCAGCTGTGTACAAAGAGTACAATTATGTGCAAATGTCTTTTATACATGTAGTGGCAAAAGGGGTTGGCTGTGGGTAGTGCCCTAGGCATGTGCAGTATGAGCTGATCAATGTCCACAATCTATATGTGCATTCATAGTTTGTGTGCATGTACCTCAGCAGAGGTCTGCCTTGGTTTAGGAATGGAATTCTTCAGTTTGTTGGTCCCACTAAAACCATCCGCTGCTCACTCCCCCCTCTCCTGTGGCAGGCTGGAGAGGAGAATTGGAGGCACACAGGGTAGAGATGACTGGTTGAGATATGAACAATTCACTGCAAATGGCAATGAGATAAGAAAACAAACAATAACAGTACCAATATTAATGACAGGGGGGATAAAAAAGGAACAATTTACATGTCAGAAAACTCCCTGACAATAGAAATACTCACATGTCAGAAAACTCCCTGACAATAGAAAATACTAGATGTGCCACGCTTACTGGACAGGACCAGAACCTCTTCTCCCTGGAAGAGACTCCCTTCTCCCCACAGCCAGCAATGACATTGAGGTGGTATAGAATAACCTCTGGTAGCCCCCTCCTGGCTACTGCAAAAATTGACCCTGTTCGCTATGAGGGTAACCATGTCTGGTACTGAAACTGCAAGTGTGGGGGTGACTTTATTCAATTCTCTGTAATAACAGTTGTTCTCCAAATGCAATATTGTTTTCCAAGGGGCCAAATAGGATTGTTAAATTGAATATGGATGAAGAGTCCTTCCAGACAAAAGGTGCCAGGACAGAAAGCTCTTGCTGCCCATGGAGTGCTAAGAGTGGCTCACCAACTGCACATGAGAGACGGGTGTTGAGGTTTTTCTTTCCATGGTGGAAGGGCTGTGGTTTGATTGGAGGAGCCATGGGCTGAAATTGGCAGCCAGACTCCCAAAACTGAATACAGACGATGATTCTTCCCAGTCCAAAGGTGCCAGGACAGAAAGCTCTTGGGGCCCATGGAGCACCCAAGCTGTCCCACCAACTGCACTTTAGACCCCAAGGGTAAGTAAGCACTTTTTTTCATGGGAGAAAGGGCTTGCAGGAGTCCAGCACTGAAATTGCCAGTCTGACTGCCAATATTAAATATGGACAAAGATTCCTTCCAGACAAAAGGTTCCAGAAAAGAAAGCTCTTGCTGCGCATGGAGTGCCCCAGCTGGCCCACCAACTATACCTGAGATCCCAAGGGTAAGTACTCTCTTTCCTGGGGGAAAGGGCTGTCATTCGCTTGCAGGAATCCTGTACTTAAATTGCCTGTCCCACTGCGAAAATTGAACATGGACAAAGACTCCTCCCAGATCAAAAGTGCCACCACAGAAAGCTCTTGCTACACATGGGGTGCTCAGGCTGGCCTGCCAACTGCTCCTAACAGCCAAAGGCTACAGGCTTTTTTTCCTGGGATAAGAGGTTGTTGTTTGCTTGCAGGAGGCTTGCGCTGAGATTGCCAGTCCAACTCTTGAAATTGAATATGGATGAAGATTCCTCCCAGACAAAAGGCACCAGGACAGAAAGCTCTTGCTGCCCACAGAGTGCCCAGGATGGCCAACAACTGGACCGGAGACCCCAAGGGTATGAACTTTCTTTCCTAGGGGAAAGGGTTGTTTTTCGCTTGCAGGAGTCCAGCACTGAAATCGCCAGTTCGACTCCCAAAATTGAACATGGACGAAGATTCCTCCCAGACAAAAGGTGCTACCTCAGAAAACTCTTGCTGCCTGTGGAGTGTCAAGGCTGGCCCACCAACTTTCTCACTGGCAGTCTGCATTTTAACACTTCCCAGGGCAGTATAATTGCAGCAGAAGAAAGCGACGGAAGCCCAGAGCCTGGACTAGGAAGGTCCAGGCCTCTGAGGTTGCTGCTTGGTGTTGATTGTGCCCAGTTGCTGGTCCCGCGCTGTGTGCTCAGGGTTTGTTTGTCACCGCTCAGTTCCAAATGAGAGAGGAGCAAGAGGCAGAAAATCCCACTGCTGGTGGGGCTGAACTGTCTGCGCTGCCTGGCGGCTAGGCAAGACTTGCCCTGCTGCCTGCATACTCTGCAGTGGCCAGGGAGGGATCCCAAAGGTCATCCCCCTCCGTGCTGTGCTGCATCCCTGCTGGGTGACCTCAGGGGAGGCCGAGGGGGGCCTGAGGGGCTGCTGCTCTCTGGGTGTCTCTGGGTTTGCCTTGGAATCCCAAAGCCTCTGCCTGTGCAGGTGTGGTGGTTTTAATCTAGGCCTTCCCTGGTTACCAGTTTGTAACCAAGGAAGGGGCAGTGTTCCCAGTATTCCATACGATTTTTACGTAAATCGAGGTATAAATAAGAAGGGAGGAGTGGCCTTCGCTCTCTTCTCTTCCGTCGGAGTTCGGGAACAGTGGGTCCCTGCGTTGGTCTCGCTTATCTAAGGCTGAGGCCTGCAGCATCCACTGACCTGCCACGTGGAAGCTTGGAGAGTGCTGGCAGTGTTGCCAATCCTGCTTTCTAAGGGACGTGGTGAGATTTGTTTTACTAGTTATTTTACTAGTTCTCGGGTTTGATTGCGCAGATCTATTCAGTGTCCCTTTTTGTTTCCTTTTGTCCCTTTTTTCCCCTTTCCCTATCCCTTCAAGAGGTGTTTGAATTCCTGTTTGCTGTGTACATAGCATCTTAACTGTAATATACATAAAATATATTTTTTATATAACTAGCTTGATTTTTTTGGGTTCTTCAATTTGCATAGTTTTTTTCCTTTGCCCTGAGGGAAGTAGAAAAGGGGGAAGAGAGGGGCTGCTACTGGGAGGTTGGGCATTTGGCAGGGAGCCAAGTCCGAACCATCACAGCAGGGAGATGAGACAAAGGTGACTCTAAATTTGTTTGTCAATTCCCAGCCTCAGTCAGGGAGTGTTGCTGCTGCTTCTGGGAGAGAAATCCTTTGGGAAGCTGGGATACAAACAGCAACACTGTGAATTGCTCAGTTTTTGCTAGGTAAGAACAGGTTTTACGTAAGAAATGCCTGTAGTGAGTAATCAGAAGAGAAAAGTGAAAGCCAGGAGCCTTTGAATTCCCCAGTGACCTTAATTTTCTTGTTCTTCTCTCTTTCAGGACAGGGAAAATCACTGACTTGGGTCCAGCTCTACCAAATGCCTTGGGGTGTGAGCAGCCAAAGGCAACAGACTCCTACCCTGCCAGCTGGTGCTGGGGGCACCTGGTCCTGCCTGTGGGGGGGAGGTAAGTCAGAGGGACACATTTCTCTAGCCCTGGGAAATGGCTCTTTTTCCCATTCCACTCTGGTGCTAGCTGTGTCTGCTGGGAAGGGGTTGGGAAGGGGCGAAGGGCCAGGTGACCATGACCCCCCACAGAGCTGTGGGGTTGGGCTGTGCTGAGAGGGACAGGTCAGTCCCCGTTGGTGAGCCTGAGCATTGGCTTGGGGGTTCAGGAGCCCAGGAGACTGAGCTCAGGGGGTGTTTGCAGCTCTGCCAGGGCTGGAGCTAACGCAGCGCTGGGGCTGAGCCTGGAGTTGGGCTGGGCCATTGGACAGATGCAGGGGAGGTGTGGGAGGGTTTGGGACTTCCTGGAGGGAAAGGAGGGCTGGATGGGCTGGATGGAGCCACAGGCTTGTGCTGGTGGGAACACACTTTTCCAGGGTGCTGGGATCTGGGTGAAACTCCAGTTACCCTTGTGTCCAGGGATGCAGGGTCTGAGGGTTTTGATTTCCCTGTGGGTTTGTAGGAGACCAGGAATGAGAGGAAATGCAGTGCCAGGGCTGTGTCCCACTGGGTTGTATTTCCCTCTGAGGATAGAGAGCCTGTGGGCTGAGTTGAGATTGTGGTGAGATTGGGATGAGCAATCCAGGGAACAGGGAGCTCGGAATTCCAGGTGCTGATGGAACTATAGCCTTAGGTGTGTTTAGTTTGTGTCTGTGGGACCTGGAATTTGGGCTGGAGAGCTGTTGTTGGGAACAAAGGGTGGAGAAAACCTGTTCCATGGATCTGTAAGGAAGGACCGAGTAGCAGGGAAGAGGAGTATTTCTATACAATACCAATATTCCCCCTGGATGTGGGATGGAGCAGCAATGGAGGTGGTTGGGTTTGGCCTGGGTCAGACAGGATCAGCCATAAAGAACCCCTCCAGACCCCTGAACCTTCAATGGACATGTCCAGCACCTCATCAGAAACCCAAGTCATTAATTTGTTACAGAGGAAAAATTATTGGTAATTGCTTTTGGTCTGTGGAGAATTTCCTTTGGAATGATCAAGCAGAGAGAGTATCAAGGCAGGCAAAGCATTTCTTTTGGGTCTTTTTTTTTTTTTTTTCTGGTTTGTCATTTTCTCTCTGGTTTCAATGCATTTTGTGTGCTCCTGTTCAGGAAGCAGCGTATTTTTACCTTGAAATTTAGGGTGGTTTTGTTTGTTTGTTTAGGATTCTTTTCTTTCTGAGTTGAATCAGGCCTTCCGTGCATAGTCTGTGTTGTCCTACACAACTGCTTTGGTGCTGGGTCAGAGAAGGGGAATGACTTTTCATTCTCTTGAATTTTTCCAAGCAAAAGTGAGAGGTTGTCTTGCTCCTCCCCAAAGCACTGCAGGCACGTGGGAGCAGCTCAGTGCTGGCCCAGTTCTCTGAGAAACACCCATGGGGGAGAGGCTGAAGTCTTAATGATAACGGTCTGGTCTCCTGGTGGCAAAGACTGGGCCCTACAGTCACAGCCTGATGAGGGAGAACAGGAACTTCTGTTCTTCATGGCAGACCTTCTGTTACTCCTTGGCAAGTCTTGTCTTTCCATTGTATGACTTGCTGTCCAGAATCGCTCCAAGGAAAGCTGTCAGAAATTTAGAGATCGGATTGGAATTTGGGTCTGTTCCCTACAAACTCCTGCAAAGCCTGAAGGCCTGGGCTGATGACTGCTCTTAACAAAGGTGGTTTATTAATAATCCATCAGGTTTCCCTCAGCTCTGGGCAGGACAGGCAAGGAAGGGTTAGGGTCAGGAATTGTGCAAGCAACACTTGTGGATTTTTCCTGTTCGTGCGTCAGTTTGGCAGGGCTGGGACAAGGAGGACTCATGCAGCGACCTACAGAGACAGCAGGAACAGGAGCGTGTTGCAGAGAAGGAAAATTGCAGGTGGTAGGTGCTGAGAAATTTGTCCTTCCCTTGTCTCATGCTCTGTACTTAGCAATGGGTCAATTGCAGAAGTTTCCTGGGGAGCCTGTAAAATGATGTGCGATCTGCTAAGAAAAGTGGGGCCAAAACAGCAGGACCTGGGTCTGTGAGCGTGGGAGAAACAAGGGAGAGAGCAATGTATGGGTCATCCTCTGCGTCCAGAAGGGAGGGCAGCAGGAAAGGCCATCGACTAAAACACTGAAGTGCTGTTCCCCAGGGAGCCCCTGCACAGCACTGAGCTTCCTTCTGCACTTCTGCTACAAAGGAAGGCATTTGAAACTGCTGTAGGAAGCTTCCTGCTGTAACCAGACAGTAATTTCCACTGATATTTTAGCTACTCAACCCAGTGAGTTTTATTTTTTCTGTGCACAATACCTGGTGGTATTTGTTAAACTCACTTGCTAAGTTATGCATTGCTTGATGAACCCTTGCCTCTTTCCCTTTTCCCAGAGGGATGATTGGTCTTGCCTTGGAAGCAAGAGAATGTCCTGGTGTCTGTGCTTTTGC